GAAGTGTCCTGTGCAAATTACAAAGACAAAACTAGCTTATAGCCCTTATGTAGCTATATAATGCAAGAAAAAAGAAACCCCATGAATTCAATATAAACTTAGCTAAAAAAGTAATAACATTCAAATTTTAAAATATTAACACAGCCCAGGAGAGATTAAAGATGGTGGTGCTGCTTGAGGTAATTGTTCAGGGAAGAGTGGATGGAGAAAGGCTGACTTTACCATGTTCAAGTCTGAAGTTCTACTTTTCTTCTTCCGAAAAGAAAACAGTCTTATAATTTCTTTGAATATAAAGTAATAAACAGTTACTCCAAAGCCCAGACAATACAGAAAGGGTGCCAGAAAAAAAGTAAAAAACTATTACCCAAAACCTCATACTTAAAGTCATCCATCCCTGTTAACATATGAGCACTTACCCTGATGCACATAAAGTGACCTTTCCCCATGCTTTCTTTTTTGTCACTTAAAATTGAGAAGAAAAAATATTAACACTCAGATTTTAAAATAAAAATATTTAAGATGAAGAATAATATTGTTTTACAACAATAAATCATCACTTAAAATAAGAATATGGTGCTGACTGCTACAGCAATGTTCTTTTGAGTTCCAGAAACATTCCATAATATGTTTGTAATTGTCCTCATTTGGCATTAATGCACCTTTTCATATTAAGTTTATTTCTGTTCTTTTCTCCTGAGCTTTCAGTGATTTCAGTTTTACTTGACATTAATGTGATTGTCTACACAAAAGTAGGCATGTCATTGGAATGTGTGGCAGCTCTCAGTTATAGGGCAGTCATCCCAGTAGTCAGAATATTCTTTGAATAGTAATGAATGTGAAAACTCTTTATAGTCTCCAAAGTCCTTTCAGATCTAAGGGATTCTGTCACATACCCCTTCTCAGACTTGTATGGTGGATATGAGTCCTGCTTGACAAATTTCCAGTTCTTCTCCCCATTTAGACACACACAGGAATTGCATTTCCCTCTCCCCTTAAAGTTAGGTGTGGCTTTGTGGCTTACTGAGACCAATGACTGTGTCACTTCCAGGTGGAAGCATTTCAGAATTAATTCATGATTCTCCACTCTTCCTTCACCCTGTCTTAATGGCCAGGGACATTCCAGCTGATGCTCTGTCAGCATATGTGAATGAAGATGATATGGAACAGGGTTCCAAGCCAATATGTGATGGACATGTAGTATGAGTGAGTGAATAAATCTTTCTTGCTGTAAACCACTGAAAATTTGAAGTTGTTTGTTATGCAGCATGACCTAGCCTGTCCTGACTGATACACTTAGAAAGGAAGGGACCACAACTTCTGTTATATCCTTTTTACCCAACAAAGAGCTCTGGCACAGAGAGTTTGAGAACCTTGCTCAAAGTCAGACACCTAGGAAAATTCAGATGTAGGACTCAAATCCCAGTCTAAATCATCTGAAATCCTGTGTTTCTCCCTGCAATTTACAAAGCTGAAAAGGCAGAGTCTCTAACAGCAAGCAATGTCAATAGAAAACATGGCATGTCTGGTGGTTTAGAGTACAAGTCTGCAAAGCCACCTATGTAAAAGATTCTGAGTGCCAAGAACATTTCCACTTCAAACTTTCCAAACCTTAGTGGTGGGGTATTCTGAGTGTTTAAACTTAAAAAGTCATAGTTCTCAAATTCTCCCCAACAACCAGGGAGGTCCATGGATGATAGATGCTTTTGGAGCTGTTCAGTTTCCACTCCAAGACTCAGTCTCTGACTATAAACCTGTTCACAAGAGTTATACGTGTCCCCATGTCTGTGGGTGGCCATGTAGTTTGCAGGAAAGGGACTCCACTTTATGCCTCGAGAGCTCCATCTACTTTCATTTGAGCAGCAAGCACCTCATTTGGAGGCAGAGAATGTGGTTTGTAAGACAAGTGGCTCAGAAAAACATCAGGGTTTATTGCAAGGTTTATGGTCACTTCCACAGGATGGTATCAAGAGGGTGAGACTGGAAGTAGGCAGAGTTTGCATGTTTTTGCCAGTATTTTCTCCAAGCAGCATTAACCGGGGGTTCAGAGCTCAATTCTGGTCTCACATTTTGAAAAGCAAGTGCTTTCTGCAGGTTCCTCATCATTTCCAACTTAGGACTTTTTGCCGTGATATCATATCTAGGCTTATATATATAGGATAAGCCTAATATAAGACATCTAGGCACTCATCTGTGTGTGTGTGTGTGTGTAGCATCCCAAATGGGGTCTGATCATGCAAGGCCAACACCTCCCTTGCTCTAGATGTTATGCTTCAGTACAAGCATCACATGCTCACATTCTAGGAACTAATGTCTTGTCATTTGTTAATTTCATGGTCTTGTCAGCCCTCAAGCATATACAAGGGTATGCGTGTGACATCACCCGCTGCCATGCACCAGGCCTATTCACATCTGCATGACTCAGAAACAAGTCTCCTAGTCCATGGTAAGGTGGAGATCAGGGCATTTGGTCTTTCTCTTTCATACCTCAAGGTCTTGCCTGCCTGCTGTTGGGTCCTGAGTCTCACTTGGGTGCTGATAATGAGTGGTGACTACACATTTTCATCCAGGAGGGCTTGATTCTCCCCCAACCTTGTCTCAAGCTCCCAAAAAAAGAGGAGCAGAGATAGCTGCCAGTTCTTTTGACCACACCATCTCCCCAATCTCTGCTGAACCAAAGGGGCTCAAGACCACAGTATAAACATCTGGAGTTTCTTTTTTTTTTCATGACTCTATTGTCATATATATATATATATTTTAAAGCAAGGCTTTGCTATTGCCCACTGAGAACTATTGCTGAACTCCACCCCTCACACTTATTGAAATAAGAAGCATTTAATTTCTCTCTCTCTGCTCCTACATGAACTTGGCTTTTAGTATATAGAATATCATATCAACTATAAAGAGATCTTACCATTCAACTCAGGAGGAAAGGACCTATTCCTAGTAGATGATTTTGATTTTAAGCCTCCCCCTGAAAGGGGCCTTGGAGTCCTACCATATATATTTTCTTATTTGATTCTCCCACATAAACTGTGATGAATATATTAAAATCCCCATTTTATGCATTTGAGGAATCCAGGGTTCAGAGAAGTAAAGTCACATTTTTAAGATTGCACAGCAAGTAAGCAAGATTTCAAGGCTTTCAAAGGCTGCATAGGGTAAGGTGATACCAGCTGCTACAACAGATTATCCTCAGAATCTCAATAATATTACAAAGGCAAGGGTTTACTTCTCACTTGCATCCAGTATCTCTGATTGGCAGGTTCTCCCACAATCCAGGGATTCAGACACCTTCCCACTTATGGCTGTCCTTTGCAGAACCTGACTCCCAATGTTACCCTGGGGTCCTTTCTAGTCCAGCCAGCCAGAAAGAACATAGAGGATCACACAGTAGGAGTAGTTTGTGGAGAGCTCTGTGCACCCCTCCCTCCCAGACCCATTCCCTTCCATTCTGAACAGCCTTGGAGACTTCTCCATCCAGTGTACTAGGCAGCCACTGCTGATGCTAAAGTTGACACCCAAGAGGAACCTTTTTCTGCCACCTGGGTTTGAGTGGCTCAAGCCACACACAAGTCTTTGCTACTCCATTTTGGAGGTGAGGGTAAAGTGGGCACTGTAACTGTGTCAGAAAAATTGAGAAAGGCTTGGAAATGGGCTGAAAAGAAATTTGCTGTGTGTCCTGTCTAGCACATCCTTCTGAAGTATCTCCACATTTCATAGTCTTTGAGCTATCATGCATCTTGAAAAGTTGTAGAAAACAAATAATAATTCAAACACTTCTTGTCCATAGGAATGCGAATGCATTTTGTTTCGTTGGAATGCAATTGATTCATGCTGTTTGAGTAGATGATTTTTGCAGCTATTTATAAATTCACTTAGGCTTTCTCAATTGCCTAAATACGTGGGTTCTTTGAATCCTTGAACAGTTATAACATCTTACTAGTCACCTCATTAATGAGTGAGTTAAATACAATCTTTCACACATGTTCACTTTATATTGTATATAGTCATGATTTCACCTTCTCTCTATATATAAAAGAATGATTCAACAACTAAAAATCCCCAAATGGAGGAAAAAAATCCTGTGATACCTTATACTCCCCTGCTTCTCAGGAGCCTCACGCTCATCCTGGAAGACAGACAGGACAAGGATTGTCAATACCATTTCGCAGCTAAGCAAACTGAGAACCCAAGAGGAGACTATCCAATCCCAGAGATCACACAGCTAGAAATGGTGGAGCAGCAAATTCAAACCCAGGTATGCCTGATGCTAAAGCCTGTGTCCTCAAGCACACGGCCTTGTTTCTCACACAACTATCCCTTGAGGCAAATGGGATATTAACAGGGCAGATATTAACACCTTTCTCACTTGGTAAAGGATGAAAGTGAGGCTCAGCGAAGTCAAATATCTTAGAGATCAATATGGGTTCAGAACCAGATCCTGGACCTCTACTTCCCGGGACATCTTTTTATAATCCAAATGAGTGTACTTTTCTAGCTAAAATGTTCTTTGAACATCTGTTCTAGTTTTTGTTTTGTTTTTAAAAAAAAAGGCAGGACTATTACTAGGTGGTTTAGGTTCCTAAAATGCTCTCTGAACCTTTATTCATAGAAGAGTAATTGAGGCAGGAACCTGGGTCAAAGCAGGCAGCATCTGCCTGGTAGGGCTCAGGCCTGGGCTCTGGAGGGCTTTGGGGGCCCCAGAGCTGGCACGTAACACTTCTCTGGGACCGCGGGAAGGTCATGGTCTGGCCAGGTTCCTGCTCACAGGGCTCTGCCCAGGATGTGCTGAGGCAGAGCAGAGTCAGGACTGGGAGGCATCTGAAATTGTGGAAGACTCACAGCTTTGAAGTCAGGCCAGCATGGGTTGAATCCTGCCTCTGTCATTTATCAAATGTGTAACTTTGAGCATTAAATGCGTGGCATCTCTCTGGGCTTTAGTTTCTTCATCTGTAAGGTAGAGATAATAACCTTAACTTCACAGGGGAATCCCAGTCCAGCCTGCCTACCAGCCCCTTGTCTATGGGCTACTTCTGTCCTGCGTGGGCACACACATCATACTGGCTTGCAGCTTTCTGGACCAACACAAATGGCTGGCACATGGTAAGTATCATACTTTCTACGTCTCTTTCCTTTCTCTGATGATAAAACTCCTTCACTTCTGCAGGATGGCTGCAATTTGACACAATAGGCAAGTCAAGTATTACTGGTGTCTGCTCACAAAGCATATGCAGGTCTGGAGAGAGAGAAAGGTCAGCAGAACCAGGCTTAGCACCCAGGCACCCACCTCACTGAGCCTGGACTGGGCCCCTCCCTAGTAATGCTAATCAAGTTGTGGTCCAACCATCTTATTTACTTCCACATCCCAGAGAAAATCCACCCCTGGAGATGGCCAAGATCTGCCTGTGCATTCAAGTTGAATCTGTAGGGCGGTTGCGTCAGCCCCGGCCCTTGTTTTCAACTCCTACAGGCCCAGGTTCTGCGGGAATCCTCTGTAAACTTTACCTCTCCTCACTGGTCCCTGTTCAGGAAAATTGGCTCCTTTGACACCGTTTTAGACAAACCATAATGTGTGTGGAGCTGAAAGAGGTTCTATTTACAAGTCTGCAGGAAATAGCCCTGGGCAGAGGATGGTAATTGTAGGGTGAAGGTTCACCAGGGGCTAAGAGAGGAGGAAGGACTGCCCCTGGGAGAGGGTCCCATGGTGGTCGAGAGATGGTGCAGGGGCAGCCCTGGCCCCGGCACCTGTGGGGCAAGAGAGCAGTGGACTGGGGTGCAGAGGTCTTCCCTTCTCTCTCCTCCAGACATGCTGTCCCCTCAGCACCTTGGCCCTCACACCCTCTTCCAGAATGCTCTTCCCACAGGTGTTTGAATGGCTCATACTCTCACTTCCTTCAAGTCCTGGTCAAATATGACCTTCCCTGATCATCTTTCTCAGCCCCCTACACAATCTCATACATATACAATCAATCACCTGCCCACACACACACACACACCACACACACACACACACGCCCTGTTCCTTTAACCATGCTTTATGCTTCTTCCTGGCACCTGTCACCTCTGGACATAGTGATTCATTTATTGATGCACCATTCTCTCTTCCTTCTATGATGTAAGTTCTATGAGGATGTGGGGTTTTGATCTGCTCCCCACTGGATTCTTAGTGCCTAGAAGAATTCCTACGTATAGATGGTGCTCACTCAAGAAGTATTTAAGGAATGAATGAACAAAGGAACAAGTGAATGAATGGATGGCTAAAACCCAACATCAAGTGCCTTCTAGGTTCCCTCCTTTAATGTGCCTCATCTGCCTGAGTAGAGATGGGCTCACTCATACACTAGACCTTGACCATCAAGCTGAATAAATCACAGATCCTGTTCAGGTGGAGCTCCCCTCAGGGAGTCAGGCAGACAGCTGTTTACAATATGCTCAGTGCCATGGATCTAGGCTCAGGAAGTTGGGTGTTGTGTCCATAATCACCTGAGGTCAAGGTGTGACTGAGCCAGGGTTCAGAAGAGTCTTCTCGCCAGTGGTCCTTTGGACCCACTTGCTTAGCAGATGAGAAAAGAGAGAGAAGAGAAAGATCACAGCCGACTGGGGTCTTCACTTCAGCCACCCTTGAGGAGCTGGCCTTTGCTTGTGGGATTTAGATGTGTGGAGACAGGGCACAGGTGGTAAGGTGGCTGAGGTCTTCCTGCAGCAAGGAAAGGTCATGCCATCGTGTGGATTTCTCCCAAACCATAACCCCAGCAGGACACTACTCTGACTGAGCTGGCTTTTGCTCCACTTAGAGCTCCCGAACATCCCCAGCATCTGTCCTCTACCTACCACCTGTGTGACCTTCGCAGGTCACTTAGCAGGCCCTGGGGCCTCCCTAGTAATGGTGGCTATGACTTGCATTAGCCAAAACAAAAGGGCTCCTGAGCAGGTTTGAACCCTCAGCAGCCTGGAGAGACAAGGACCAGGCTCTCCTCAGCCAGGAAGGGAGGCCAGGCCCATGAGAGGGTAGAGGCCAGTCACCTCAGTCTGGCCTCAGTATTTTTAGCATGTTTCCTTCTTGTCACCCTCCCACAAGCCACTAGCCCACTCCTTGCCCAAATAACAGTCACCAGAATAGCCCTGGAAGTTGACAGAGGGGTACTGGGCCCTCCCCCCACTCCCTCCCTCCTGCCAGGCAGTCAGGCATGAGCAGAGGCCCTGGGGCCGGGTGAGGCCCAAGCGGAGGCTGTTAATTGTACCTTTGGTCCAAATAAAAAAATAGCTCTCCTCAGGGCTAACTGTAGCACTAGTTCCAAGGAGCCAGGTGCCTGCCCCTCACTGGCTCCTGTGTTTGCCAGGGGCAGATGCCTCAGGTCTGGACTTTGCTCTCAGCAATGGAGTAGGATAGCTCCCCAGAAGGTGGTAGCAAGGTGGGCAAAGTGATCAGAGAAGATTTTGCTCAGATCTCCCTGTCCCACACATCAGACAGGTCAGGAGGCTGAGGGCCAGCGAGGAGACGTGCGCTTGGACATCACCTTGGAGAAGCCTTCACTGACCATCTTGCTGCAACAGTGCCTTAGTCACAGCCCCTTACCTGCTCTCATTTTCTGCACAGCACCAGTCACTAGCCCCCACGATCCTGTTATGTATTTGTTTGCATATGCATTTTTCACTTCAGAGGCAGGCAGATCTGTGCATTCCCACGTGTCCCTTGCCTCTGGGGCAATGCCCGGAGCTCCATTAATTCAGCATTAGCAAATCATTTGATGAAGGAAACCACAATGTACAGAAGATGTGGATAGTTCTTGACTTCTGCCACGTGGTAGAAAGCCAGAAGAAAGAAACTCAAGAAGCAAAGCCCCCACTAGCACCCAGTTCCACAAACCAGCCCCCAAACAGCAGTAAGAATAATCCTTCCAGTGTAAATGGCTATCTTCCGATGTCAGTCTATTACCCAACAACACCAGCAGCAAAGATGGTCCCTCTTAATAGCAATGAACTTGGCATTTTCTAACTGCTTTATTTATGTGACTAATGCAGGCAGTTCTGATAGAAACCCTTAAATAAAGTAAGATTTATTTTTACTCCACTTTATAGATGGTGAAACTGAGATGCCAAGAAATAAAGTGATTTGGCCCAAATTGCATGACCCCTAAGTATCAGTGCTGGGATTTGTATTCAGTGCTCTCAATAATATCACTGGTGGTACCTGCACATCTCGTTGGCCATTTTTAAAGAGCTTCATGCATGTCACCTCACTGGCTCTTTAGGGAACTCCAAGGGGTTGTATAGTTATTTATGAGTCCATTCACCCCCATTTTTTAGAGGTGGCAGCAGAGGCCCAGAGAGGGAACATGATGTGCTGAAGGTCACCTCAGGTGGAACTCCTGACTTGCTCGGCTCTCATAGTGCACTGCCCTCGTGGCCTCCCTTTCCCTGCCTCTGTGCCTCTCTCTGATTGGCAGGAGCCTCATCACCACTGGGTGGCTGTTAAAGGCCTTCTTGACTCTTTATGAACTTCGTCACCTTGCCACACACCAAGTTACCTTTATGGCACCACCACCAAGACAAACCTTTAAGATTAACAAATAAACATATAATGGGTTGTGCAATGGGGAGTTCCGCTCAAGAGCATAGGCTACAGACACGCGACTCCAAGTGGCCTCCAACAGCGACGCACCCCCCCCCTTGCCCCGAGCCCTCCAGAAGGCTTTCCCTGGAGTCAAGGGACCTGGATTCTAGGGTCTTCTCCATTTACTTTTTTTGTGCCCCAGATACCTGGTCTTGCCAGTGGGGACAAGCATCTGTACTTCTGGGGTCTTCAGCGGGGGTCAGGCTGGGATCACAAGTGATGGGGCACAGGGATTTAAGGTGGTGTCTTCATAGGGGCTGCCCCCTAGTCCCAGCCCAGCACAGATCTCTGAGTTTTCAAGGTCATCAGTCTGCCTCCCTCTAGGGTTTGCTGAGCCTTCCATCAAGTGACCTATCTTGGGCCAGCCTGCCTCAGCCCTGGGCAAAGTCTGGATTATTCTCTACATTTTCTTTCCTTTCTTTCTCTTCCCTTCCCTTTTCATTCTCTCCTTTCCTTCTCCCTGCCCCATTCCTTCATTCATTCCCTGCTCAAATTTAATCCTTCCCTTTTTCTTATATCTAGTATTATACCCTTGTCTCTCTCTAACTCCTTACTCTGTTTTTCTTCCTTGCAAAAATTAATTATTTGACATCAGTTACTTAACATCTTCATGTCCTCTCTCTCCTACTAGAATGTCAGCTCCGTGAAGGCAGGGAGGTTGTCCTGTATGCTCACCTCAGTATCCCTGGAGCTTAGCACAGTTTCTGGCAGAGGGGGAGCTCAGGAACTACTGGTTGCATCTTAAATTCATTTGCCCAGCACAGGTGGAGTACGGCCATCCACCAGCAAGGTCTCCTGGCAATCCCTTTCTCAGGCTCTGCCCAGAGGGTCCTCCACTGAGGACTGTAATATGGGCCAGGTTGGCACCCCTGAACCCCTGTGTGAACAGGGAGGCCTTGGCAAGAGATGGAATTTTCACCTGGGCATTTCAGACACTCCTCCATCTACTCGGGGAGTCTACAAAGTCTCCTCAGGAGAACAGAACAAGCCCCACTTTTGAGGAGCTTTGCACACTGAGGGTCTGCCCAAGGTTTTGTTTAAAAAGTGTTCCACCACCAAGTAGAAGACAAATTCTTCAAACCAAAACAAAACAGTTCTACCTTAAAAAAAAAAATAGAGCAATAGAGCAGCATATAACTATAACATACCAGCACAGGCTTCAGCACACGGGGTCCAGGAGTACACACTTCGGGCTTTGCGGGCCATAGGATCTCTGGCAACTACTCAATTTGTAGAGCTCGAAGGAAGCCAGAGACAATATAGAAATGGATGAGAGTCTGTGTTCAAGGAAAACTTGTTTTTGTGGAACTTTTTGAAATTTTAGGAAATTTGAAAAATATAAATGTCATGTGCCATGTTGTATTATTCCTCTTCTTAATTTTTTTTCAACCACTTAAAAATGTAGGAGTTATTCGTAGCTTACAGGCTGTAAAAAAAGTAGATGGAGGGCAGGATTGGCTGGTGGGCCCAAGTTTGGTTTCCATATCAG